TCCTCACTTCTTGGCTTGAATAGAGCAATATCTACCTTTGACCCTGCAGTCTAGAGCAGTTCATGAACATAAAAACAAGAAACATTGTGATTTCCCTTTTTCAGATTGTTTCCTTTTAGGGGATTTTTCACTGGAAAAAAGGGGTTTAAGTATCTAATATTTTGTAAGAAAAAAGCCAGAACTTGAGGCAGTGTTCACGTGCCTTGCTACAACTGCAACCCTTGTAAAAGGTTCCCTTTCCCTTTTTTGGATTATTCCGGCACCACATGAATGCAGCACCGATGCCATATCTCACAATGCTATGGAAAGTAAATACAACTTGTGTTTCATCTTCAAAATTCTTCCTTGGCCAATGCCATCATCCCTACATGATCATCAGGCCAGGAGTTATACTTCCATAATCCTGTTGACAGACAAACTGAACCAAAAACATAACCTCCCTGGCTAAAGTAAAGAAAATCTCATTTAGTAACCCCTTAGATTATGGATAATAAATATATAACTGTTAGTTGGAGCTAATATATTACTCAAGTATTTAGTTTTATACAAGTTCATTCAATAAAACATGGACATTTGGTTTGCAGTTGGAAACCTAATGTTTTTTTCTCTTAAGTGGGGTATTTCGAGCATTCAGACAGTTTAAGGTTAACATACACGCAGTCCTCCCTTTGCTATCTTCTTTCCTGGCACATTCCTCACTATACTTTTATTACAAAGCGTGGGTGCCAAAAATGCACAGGGCACAGGAGCATGGGACAGAAATATGTCAAAAGCAAGAGTAAGACATACTCATGTTATTCCCCGTGGAGACATTAGCCGTGCTATTTGTGAGCCCCTGCAGGATTCCTGCCGTTGTGTCTTTCTTCTCTAGAGTTTACGGGCCCTGCCTGGCACGGTCCCCTCACTCTGCCCGGCCCACCGTTTATCCCCACAACTATTTTTCATGTTCCCACCTTATATCTTAAAATTCCCTCTGTTTCTTTCTCAATCCATTTCTTTC